TTAAGAAAAAAAAATGCCTCGTGGCCAGCCATTCAACATATCTGTTAACTTTCAACCAATACCAACATTTTTATGTAGACGCATAAAACTTCTTATTATCCATATGGTGAAACATAACCAGTATCATATATATCACATATCACTTTTGCCAAGCAACCATTGTTTCTGTATTTCGTCGTCAGTGACATCATTAAACAATTGAACGTGATGTCAATGAACAGGGCTGCCACACTTGCTTACCGCGTTATACTACACAAAAGTACATGAATAGAATGGATAATAAAGAAACTATTACATTTGCAAATGTGCCATATGACTTACACAAACTTGTGCAAAAGTATGTACGTTCTCGCTCTCGCAATACAAAATTTCACACTTGTTTCATAAAAGTCGAGTAACACACTCTATTTATCCACTTACTCCTTTTAAACACAAATTTCGCATATTGAATTGACTTTGCTGCAGATTTAGGGCCAAATATCTGGGATTTACACAGACTTTTAACAATGGGAGTCATGGTGACTCACAATATATATTTTTGGGAGTTATTTTCAATATTTGGGAGTCATGAAATCTTTATGTTAATCATTCTCAGTATGTAACTGTGTATGTCACACCACCAAATGAAACTACAGCATTGTTCAATTCAAACAGCCAGGATTACTGTCCTCTGAGTACTCTGGAACAATCTGACAGCTCTGTAAAAGTCAAACTATCATCGAACAATATCTTTTTTTGCTTATCAAATCGATATTATTGAACTAAAATGTAAGGGCCACCCATAAAACTTCCGTCAAGCTTGACTCGTATGATAATATTTTGACAGTCGTTTACAAAATTGTTGCGTCAAATACTCAGGAATCACATGTCATGTAAAACCCTGCCAAATATATGCATGGATTAGGTTGAACTGCAATCGTGCAAACATAATCATAGTCATGATGACCTGGAGTGAGAAAACCTTCAGTTATCTTTAAGAAGTCTTGTTTCAGATGCACAACCTCATACACATTTATCAGACACTTCCTACAGTTCTCTTTTGACAAAGAACAACGTATATTTTCCTGACATTTTTCATATGAGAAATTTGGTGGGGAGCCTAACTAGGTTATTGTCTGTTATGAGTGACTACATTTATACAGTACAGCGGTAATCTGCATACTGTTTGAGACTGAACAATGAAAATATTCTGAGAATCATTCAGTTTGCTGTTAGAGATTGAATCAGGTACATAATGGCATATGGGAAACCAATTCAACTGTCAACAGTTCCAGGCAATAGCAATTGGCGTCTTACCTATATATTATGAAAATGTTAACATTGAGACGTATGAGCATTTAGAAAATGCAACCGGTATGATTTGTGGAACTGATACTTGAAGCAGCAAGACAAAACAATAAATAGAATAAAACATGGTGGATGAATACTGTGCATTGGTTGTCATTGTTTAATGTTAATAAATTGATATTTACATATCCATGAGTGATCACTTCAAGATGGAGTGGCATTTTAAGGTCTTCGGTCAGAGACCTATCAATTAAGAGGCAAAGACTTACACTGAACATAATAAGGCTGTACTGCATTGCTTGTGCAGTAAGCTATTTCCACAAGTCAGACTTTTCTTCAATTTCTTAGCCCTTCACATCATGTCATGTTCAAGTACACCCCAAGTTTTTGGCTGAGGCAGGTTTTGGAGATGGTACTTTTTGTTTAACATTACTTGCAATTAGGGCTGCAACGTATACACTATGTGGTGAATATGATTCGTATCAAGAATTTTGGGTAACGAATACGAATACTTATTCATGAATACAATATTGTAGTTAAGTGATTGATGCACTTTATAGAAAACCCATGTTGACAGTTTTGATTTGTCACAGCAATAACCAGTGATACCATGACACTCAAATTTGTTATGTAATAGTTATAGTCGACAGTACCATGTGCAATCTTGGCAAACTAACATGACTTGCACTATTCCAATGCTAGTACATGTTCCATTCTTGCATATCTCACTTTGGAAAAGGACATAAGGGTTCAAGTAAAACAAGCTCCCTTTATAAAATTGTAAATATTCGTTAATATTCGGTTCTTGTGACCACGAATAACGAATTGAATTCATGAAGGGCTACGGTTCGATGCAGCGAATATGCGAGTGAATCGTTACAGCCTTACTTGCAATTACAACTTGGAAACCCCATGTTATCTCAATTTTTATTCTATTTTTGCAAAATCAACAGAATCCAAAAAGTGATGATAATTATCCCATTCGGGTCTTACAAACATCTAAACTGGATCAGCCTGTTTCACACATTGAATATATTTAGATTAACAAAGAGGTATTAATTTAGTAGCAATATTCATCAATGTACATCAATACATAACCGACTTATACATGATAACACCTTTACTATTACACTGATATCATGATATCAGACATCACTTGTTCTTTGTTCATCTGTAGTTGGAAACGGACATTCACACCCAAACCATTATTTGAATACATGTAATCAGTATTTATCCTTTTTAAGCCTAAATGGTAATACCAAAGTTATACTGTTGTTGTTTTTTAGGTCCAACAAACTTCACTCCTCTAGTCCTCTATGAGTATCCACAGAATTATTCTGGCAGACGAGCTGCCAAATCTCACAAATAGCAATCAGTCCTTTTTTGTGTGACTGTGTCTGCTGTACTGTGGGTAAACTATTACTAATTTCATGTGTATCATCTAGAAGAGGGGCTGTGTCTCTCTGGTAGTACTCTCAATCACTGAGCAATCATGGAGCCCTGTATTGGATGTCTATTGACCAAGGAGCTTGAAGCCCTTCCTCCAACTGATTACATCCACAAGACACTTCAAGTAACTACAGTTTTTCCTCTGCTCACTCCATGTGATGATCAATTTCTAGCATAATCAATAATGACAGAGAGAGTCAGGTTTATACAATTCTATTTTGTGAGAAGAAATGTGCAAGGAAAACATGCTTAGAGAGCTGTGTAATGAATTTCGACAGAACCCTTAAGCAGTACATATGCTCATTTTACAATTGTGTTCTGTACCAACAGAGAAGATCGAGTTTTTTCTGTTTTTGTTCAGCAGTATCACACAGAACAGTTGGCAATGATATAGCCACAAGAACGGTGCCTTAGTCTAGTAAGCTCTGCCCATCACCATTCCACACATCAGCAACAACACCTTCACTAATGAGGCTAATGTAATTTGGCAATAGGTGTGTAGTTGGCACAAAGAGCCTGTTTACCAACTCATTATAACATGTTACAGAAATATACATTGTTGTACAAACTGAACTTGCATGCTTAACAATCACAATATTTTAATTCTACCTAACATTTCCATGATAAATACAGAATCAAACAAAATGTCACATTTAGGAAAACATATGTTCTAGGATTCCAAGTGACTATGAGATACAATTTATACCATTATTTGCAACTTAAAATAACATGGCGATATTTGTTAAGACAGCACTTGGTGACAAAGTGATCTGATGGTTGTAAACGACTGACCACATTACATCTAATCTCCCACCTTTAACCATGTTCGTGGTCGCTGATGCCGCCAACAAGCACAACAGGTCTGTTGATGGAGAAAGCATATAGTCTAGCAAGAAACGAAGACATTTCCATTCCCCTACGATCGATAATGTCTCTTCCAAAAGACCAGTCTAGGCTTACATGGCTTACTAAGAGAACAATTATTCATGGGGATTTATGCCAATTTACCTCCATAATCAGATCAAAGGGGAAGAAGATATATGAATGCACTCACTTCATTAAATGCGTGAAGTGGAGGAAGGATTCATTCAAGGCATGGGTCCTTAACAGTGTCTTGATGCAGAAAATGTCTGCAAAGAGCAGAGACGCTCTGCCCGACTGAATCTTAAAATGTAAATATATAAAGAGACTGTAGTGTCAGGCCACACCAAATTTGATCTGTCTGTCTTTTCCAAAAACAATTTTCTAGCATGTTTCTTTTCAAAAACCTGACATATGAATAAAAAGGCATAAATAGATCCCAATCAGATCACTTTAATTTCCTATTGTTGGTGTATCAGCAATGGAACAGTAACAGGTATGGTTCTTTTGAACATGTTGAACCATGGATGTTGAAGAACGGCACTTCAGCAGCTGATTTATATTCAGCAGTCACTTTTCTGGCCTGTCTAAATGAGGGTGTTTACAAATAAGCTACACCTAAAGTTTATGAAGCTACAAGTGAGAATCTATATGGTTGCAAGGACCACTTTTCACAAGTTATTTGAGTTTCTCCTTTGGATGCGAACATTAACACTTAGTTCCTTTTTGCAATACATGGGCACTCAAAGATATTGAGTTGCATACTTTGAAATCAAAGTGTTCCACCTGGAAGTATCATTTTGATCCTTCATCAAATTGCTTTATCACATTTCACCAAAGCTAGATAAAAAACATTTGCAATTTTTGGAGTTGCCCCCATTTTTTGCATGGGATTGACAATATCCTTTCTCTATTTCCAAATACCCAAATCAAGTTTGTGATTAAACATGTTGATATTTTCAGCACTGTTTGTGTGTTACTTTTTCCGTGGTTTCACCCGATAAACATTGTCACAAGGTATAGTTGTTATATTTGATTGATTATTGGAGTGTTGTTGATGTGGTCACTAACACAAGGAATTCGAACACTGATGTGACAATTTAATATCTGGTATTCTTTTATCAGCATCTTATATAATACATGCAAAACCTATTTTTGCAACAATATTTATAACTGCTGAAAACGGATGATAGCTTCTTTAAATCAAGCCATAAGTATTGGAGGAAAGATACTCGTAGAATATGATACAATCTCTCTGGATATCTACTTGAGGTGAGCTCATAATATGTAAATACCTGTAAGTGTAAAAGAAGAAAAGTCACATGCAGTCATAAAAACCAAATGTGAATCATAAATAAGACTTGCTAGATGTAAGTGTAACAACAGATGCCAAGTGTACTTACCACTTGAGGAAGAATGAATGTCAGGGCTTTTCTTATTGCTGTTCTAAGTTCTGCTACTGTTTTGGCTTCCAGCAAGGGTAGGAATGCTTCCTGTAAACAACATGGAATCATTGTCACACACACACAAACAAGAACAAGTGAAGTAAACCATCAACACAATGTACGGTTTGGAATCCCAACTGATAAAACAAATGAATAGTCTCACTGAAAATTGTTGAATGCACATGCATAATCACATGATATTGTATAAGATTGTAGGAATTCTAGTGAATTTGACCATACACATCCAGCCACATGTTTCCTTTACATTCCTTACATCAGGAAGCTGCTGCGTGCACTTTTCTGTTATTCAAGTGTTAGTCCATACACCAATACTTCCCTACCATATACAGGCAACAGCTGCTAGTAGAAATTTGTTTTTAACCAAGCATGAAAACAATGGCGACTGGTGAATACATTTGGTGTGTTTAGAATATGTTAGCTGAACCATAACACAAACTTTTGAAACATTAAAGCATTTTAGAAATTGAACTAATATTCCAGCAGTATTACAGAACATATTTTGCAGAAGTGGTAAAACTGTTGAGATAGTCTACATGGGCTGCAAACATTTTGAATTCACAGACATTTTCACAAATATATTATCACTATTGATCAAGATTTATAAGCAATGACATCCATATACTGTAAACGTAGTATATTTCGTGCAGGTTTTATTTTCACGCTTTTCGCGCAAAACATTTTAGCCAAAATTTATATAATCCGCGAATAAACCTGTCATTCATTCAGTCTAGCCACGCTCGCCCTGAGTTGTTACCATAACACATCACGTTTGAAGACAGAAATCTACGCGAATCTTAAAATGACGACTGATAGTAGCATAAAGAATCAAACTTAACTGTCGCTGTAATGGATTTCCCAAAACGTAAATAAGCATCATAACATTTCACTTGTTCCACAGCATGACTGAAGCAATTACCCTTGTAGATGTTGCATTAGACGTGATGGCACATCGTATTTAGTTTCAGGAGTCCCTTTTCAAAACCCGTGAAGGTACGGGTTAGACTTGATTTTCAGTAACCGATACTTGTCGTAGGAGGCGATCAGGACTGGTCAGGCTCGCTGGCATGGTTAACACATGCGATCGGTTCCCAATTGCACAGATCGATGCTCATGATGTTGATCACTGGATTGTCTGGTCCAGACTCGATTATTTACAGACCGCCTCCATATAGCTGGAATATTGCTGAGTCTGGCGTAAAACTAATCACACTCACCCTTTTCAAAACATACTCTTAAAAAATAAAGTAGTGAACTGTGAAAAGAGTTGCAATAATATACTGCAGTTGTCGGTGTAACACAATATTTACCCACAGCTAATTTTTTTTTCTGTTGTATATTTCAGTTGGTCAGGTAAATGATGTTGTATCATTGCAGTTCTTATTGTGAAAAACATTTGGAAAATTTATGTTACCTCTGAGGGTCCCCAGCTTTTTTGAAGAATAAATACTACAACTAGTAGATGATACTTCACTTTTAACATGGATGAGCTAATTAGAAACTGTGAGTAATAAATACATTAGTTATGTCCTCATCCAACTCTTGCCTGACACTGATCTTAAAGAGTAACTCACTAATGTAATATTTGGTGTACGTGATAGGATGTACTTGTGTCAATTCTGGACCAGACAATCCAGTGACTTGAGCATTGATTCATGGAACTGACATGTTAGCTGGATGTTATCAGCCATGTCAACAAACATCATCCCCTTAGTTCAGCATGCAAAACAGTTTCCAAATTTTGCTTACTAGTCAGGCTAGCTATGCCTGAAAGTTACAAGCCAACAAAATAATCCCATTGCCCGAAATTTGAATGTAGACACAGCTTTCATCATGAAACTGCTAATATGATGAACATATTTTCATCAGGACATAATCTTGCATGATTGAAAGGTGTGTTATAACTTAACAACTTGGAGAGAGTTATATATTTACAAAATGACCCCATGAAAATTCACTAATTCACAAACCAGTCAGGCCAGTTACTGGGGAGACTTACTGGCCCGACAGGATTTTTACTAGGCATGGGCTAGCAAACCAATGGCTATTTCACACACTGCTTCTTCCCCTTATGCTCATAGGGTATTCATAGGGTCACCTCTATAAACATGATAAAGCCATCAGTTATGACCAGTAGAGATCTGAGTTAGAAGTGGTTTTCAGCAACCCATGGCCATGTTTATCGTTAGAAGTGACTAACACAATCGTCAGTCAGACGTTAATCACTGGATTGCATGGTCCAGGCTTGATTATGACCACTGTCATATAGCTGGGATATTGCAGACTGTTGTGAATAAACAAACAACCACAACAATAATATCATATCTACCTGGTTCAACTGGGAAATGTTTAATCCAATTTGAGATTTCTTTACATTCTTGTTCACTATAAATATTTCACATGGACATTAGAAAGTTAATTCTATGACTAACAATTTACTGTCTATATGTTAGTTATTGTGTAAAACAACTTGATAGTGCTTAATAAATCACAATTAATTTATGACTGTTATGAGATGCCTATTACATATAACTTTGTATATTATTTGTAACTTCACACTCATCTGCAATACATTAATGATGGGCTTGACTTTTATACCGTGCAAGAATGATCCATATCTTTTATTTTTCATTCTATCAATGAAAATTAAGTGACATATCAATCAGTATTACAATGAATCTTTCTTGGATTAAGCCAAAAACATAAAACAATCCAGATGACATTAAACAAAAGGTGATAAATTTTCAATAATTCATTATATATGATAAAGCTCCATTCATAAAGGTGCAACTTACACACCCAGGTGAATGTGGGAACATAATTACTTATTTACATAATCAATAGGGGGCTATTAATTTCTGCATGACCCCATCATTTATGTATACCTGTGAAGATGAGCGTTATAATTGGTTTTCAGCAACCGAAGCTTATTATAAGAGGCAACTAACGGGATCAGGTGGTCAGGATTGCTGACATGTGTGATGCATGTGATCATATCCCAGTTGTGTAGATTGATGCTCATCATGCCTGTACCTACACTTTCCGGTCCAGACACGGTAACTGATTGCCATCATACTAGAGTATTGCTGAGTGTGGTGTTAAACAACCAAACAACCAACAACAAATCACTGAAGTTGTTCTTAATTTTAGCATTTCTTACGATTTGTCATAAACTAAAACACATACAATTCTGATATCTACATTTGTGATGTAATGGTAATGGAGAACAAAAACATTAAGAAAATATATTGTCCAGAGTTTCAGTGGACATAACACAAGGCAAAACAGAGAAATAGTCCTGTTCTTTATGCATGGTCCTCACTCTTGTCTTGTGATGTCAAAGAGAAAAAACAATCTTCTCCCAATTATGGCTAGTCACTTATCAAAATACAAAAATGGATAATGTTATATGTAAGTCAATATTAAACAAAATATTAACATACACTGGGTGCAGGTTGGTATAAATATGATGTTGCATTTTGAAGTTTCAGATTGCACCAGTGCAAGTTTTAAATGCTTAAAACAATATGATAAATTGATATTCATTTATGTAGTTCATGCAGAGGCAGTATTGTTTTTTTCACACTTTCTGAAAAGCTGTTCAGTTAAAAAGTCCCTCACACAGTACTATTATGATAAAAAGTTGCAAAATTTGTTCCTGTTTTTTCTCACACATAACACAATCTAGGACAAAAGCACTGTCTTTGTTCCAAGCCAATCTGATATTTCCAGTTACATTTACATCATAAGATTCTAAATTGAATACTGTACATTCCTGCACAATTTTTAGTTGAGGTCCACCTAATGCTGTGACCGCAGTTCTCACACAACCTGCACATTTTTGATTTCTTGAATCTTTAAAACAACAACATGACATCCAGAGGGTTAATGTTGAAGTGACATATCACATTAACAATAAATAATTAGCAACACCTACATAACATGTGTTAGGGAAGTTCCACTGTGATATCCATGGTCTGTTAATCTGTTTCACCTGAAACCGTTCCATCCAGATTAAGTACAAAGACATTGTTTTTTCCCCAGTTCTTTTTGCAATGTTCTAACAAATACAAATGTATAACAAATACCCTCATAATTTACTCAGTGTGTGTTTGTGTGTGTATGGATTACTATGTATGTGGCCCAATATCTGCAGACCGAGTATGAAATTACTTTGAATGGGGGCCCTACTTTGGGTAATGACCCTATCATCTGAGCAATTTGAAAACAATGTTAAATACACAGTAGGCAAACATGGCCATGTGAATCTCCCTGTTTTACCTCCATCAGTGGCTTGACCTAGAACTATGAACTTCCTTGTATCAAATGCTTGATTGTGATGCAGTAAAATCAAAGGGATTTGATGATTCATTTTGTAGTAGTCATGACCAATGGATGTAATATGATAAACAACGTACAAACAAACATAACCAAGTCTTTAATTGTCTATAGACCTGGATTTACTTTACTGCCCAATATCACCAGCCCCTGAGTTACCCAGAGCATCACATATGACTCACACTATCTAAATACATGTAGCAATGTTCTTACATGTAACTACCTTATCGGGCCAACACTTTGGTCCGAAATCCGAAATAATGAGAGTCCGAGATACAGAACTTTTTTATTATGACAACGAAGAAGGATTCATCGGGACCGTGAGTTCAGTCCTGTTTGTACAGCAATCCGAGAAAGACAGAGTCCGAGCTTGACAGAGTGCACTGTAGTCCTTATAAGTCATTGTGTGTCATTTTTACCACATGTTCTGTCAAGAAGGTGCTGTCAATAAAGGGATTAGTTATCAAGGTGTTATTATCTACTTCTGCCCACTTTTTCATGTTCATATACAGTTGTCTTTATTTCGTGATTTGGAGATTTCTTGAGCATTCTTTACCAATATATATGTTCTCAAATATTAAGGGTGATCCTTTGATCCTAGATGTTTGCTTCTATAATATTTCAGCCTAAGCATGCCAGAGGACTTTGCCGGATGCCACATCAATTTTCTGATACACATTTTCATAAGATCTGGAAAATTAACTTTGTTCAAGAATCTCACCTGCACTGCACATACCCCTAACTATAAAATTATGCAGGGATGCAGAACATTGAAATTCTTATCATGATCTGATGAAGTACAAAACCTGTTCGAAAAAAAGACATGGGCACTTATTTTTTCAATGGTGTTCCAGACCTGGTGCTTATTAGAGGCCTGGCACGTTTGCAGTTACTGGGTCTAATTACTGTGTCTGGTAATTTATTAGAGGAAATATGGTATGCTGTCCCACATTTTGTTGAAAATGTTGCAACTTGTACTGTGAAACAATTTGTTTTTTAACTGCTATGAACACACTGTGACTGAAAAATCAATGAGAAATTGCACTGTAGGATTGAGGTACTTTGACAGAAATAACTATCTTGAGTACTTAAATCAATTATTGAATCCAATATTTACAAACATTCTTAAGAGTGAGATTGTTACTTGAAACTAGTTTATTGTTTATCTAAGTGAGATACGCAAAATAGAAAATATCCAAGACATTCAGTGATGTAACCTGCGTCACTTTGCTAACGTCCCTAACCATACTACCATTAGGCTAGAAACTGCATTGTTCGCAATGTATAACATTTTTACATCTTTTACATATAGATCATATCGATCAATAATCGGATAAACACTGTGTGGGTAGCAGTGTGTTGATAAACTTAGCAATTACTTGCATTTTGCTGCCACAGGACATGTGTCATGATTATGTTATTGAGTTCAACTGAGCACTGTGTAACTAATATTCTATAATAAACTTACTGACTGGACATGATTATGGTATACATAATCTCAACATAATAAAATGGATTGCTTAAGATCATAATTGTATAAGTGTATTTTCACTTATTTGAAAACAGTATTTCTGGACCATATGCCTGTAGCTACCCTGGTTGAATCACACACAAATGACTTCAAGTTCAATGGTTTCAGGTAGCAGTATGTGAACATGGCTACTATCAGTGGCATATCATTTAATAGTAAGGAGCTGATAATTGAATAGCCATGGGAAACGACAACGATGAGAGCAGTGCAATCTATGTCAATAAGAGAGTCAACACAGAGTGACAGGGTGACAACATGCAGCTTTGACATGAGCAGCAACACATGAATGTAATGGCCCTGATGAAAGATAAAATATTTGAACAGTTTATCTCATCTTCAAAAACAAGCACAAGTAAGTAGCAGTTGATTCTGTGAAAGACAGACAGACAGATATATGTTGTATGGTCATGAGATCAATAGTACTATGACATTTCGTTGTAGGAAAATGTATTGTGGGCATAAATTTGCATATCTGAATCTAAATAGATGTACATGTTTGAGTTTTACTTACATTTAATGTATCATCTCCTTGAATACCATATTAACAAAACCCGCAAATCTGAAAAACATATTTATAATTCAACTGAGACTGAGAGAGACATGACACACGAAAGATACCTGTCATTCTTTCCTATTTATACAAAGTGTCTTTGAGATTATCGTGAAAAACCATTCATAAACATGACTGAATGACAGGTTTGCAACAACATACCAGTGAAGTATCATACTGATGCTAGTGATGCTGTACAAAAAAAGGAATTCAACATGTATCTTTTTTTAAATAAATTAAAGAAGATACTATAAGTAGAACCATCTACTGAGTCTGTATACAAATTGCCTGTATAACATATCAAAGAATATTTCAAATCAAATTCGGACTCAAACAATACACTGGCACACTTGTAACTGTGTAATATCGATGCAAAAATACAGAATACCCAGTCTGGACTATCCTCACAAACAGATCTCATTTGGTACAAAGGGCAAAACAGCAATGAAAATAAAATGAATTGACCTATGAAAATCTGTGATGACACCAAGAATATCTGTGGATTGTTATTTGTATCATGCATCTGTTTGTATATCAAAGTATTATTAGCATGTGATTTATATTACAAGAAAAGGATGTCAATGTTGTTTGTCTACCATCCCTGGCTGGAACAGCTCAATTACAGTGATCACTACAAGTGTCTCGTCTTCAGCTTATTTAGTACTCAACATCCAAACTGCATTGTATTGAAATTACCTACATTCTTTCCAATCATGATGAATACAAAGCATTTGTATTATTTCAGGTATTGTGTCAATGAAGCATAATGACATGGTCCACGTTGATCTGTAGGTGTAACTATATTCTTTATATAAGGGGCTCTTATCATAATCCTGACATTGTTAAAACATGTATTATATGGCAGGCCTCCAGTGAAAAACACCAAGGGCCAAGGACCCTCTGTAAGGTACAAGCACTACTGATGAACACAGCACTAATGTTATGGGAACAATTTACACAAAAATCCCACAAATTCAAAATATAAAAATGTTTTATTTAGTTTCTACAAAATAAACGGAACTGTTATTACTCAATGACTCCTCTCACAGAAATAATTAAAACCAGATCAATTACTTTTATTCTTTTGATCAATGTTTCTAACAAAGCTAATGTGTAATAGATCTTCTCTAATTGGCTGTTGTTGTTGCAGTGACTTTGTCGAAGATTTCTTTCAGAATCCGAACATAAGATGGCTGAACTACTTTGTTGTCATGACAACATCCCAGATTTTAAATAATTACATGGATCAGGTGTACTGAAGGGTATCATTAGGAAGGTTCATAGACACAATACATCACAAAGTTAAGTACTCTGCAACACCGGAAGTCTTGAACATGTTGAAGGTTACAGGTATCAAAAATAATACTTGAGTTTGAACCTTTTGTTTCAACATCCAAACTTCAAAGTTTAGATGAAATATAATAATTCTACATATATAATGCATAGAAAATTCTACCGTCTGGCTGTTTATGAAAGGCCGCACACAGAATTGCCCCTAATGGCCCAATATAACTAAACCACTTGTTCAAACAGTGATAAAAGGTTACAGTCTCTAAGGTCTCATTTGATTTATGGTCATTGAGTTCATACAAAACACAGAAAGCTACTTTTGAGACTGTAATAGGCTAATGTCATAAAAAGCTGGGCAGCATAGTTGCGGAGCCACTACATACAGTAACTTGGTAGCACTGCCACTAAGCAGATCGCCTGATGATGTTGATGAACTGAAACTGATCAGCACAACCAGAAATACTGATCACATTCAAGGGACTACTTCCATTTCTGCCACAATGACACTATGACAGTGACAGTTGTTTGTATGTAAATGTATGTATGCTCATTTTTTATTGACATGAGCCAGCTGTCATCAATAACTGCATGACAAAGTTTTGGCAATAATAGAGAAAAATGAAAGCAAGAAACCTGACTTTAGATGCATTACATCTTATTCACATTCATGTAACTGTAAGAAAATACCAATGTTGATGTTGTACAAACATTAATTTCATAATAGTAGACTACATAATATGGTCATAAATACCACAATTTTTTTACATCATTGTGGAAAAACCCAAGAACCCCCCCTACCCCATATTCAAACATGTTTTTATATTTTCAGTATAAACACATTTTCTTGTATTAAATTCATAATTTCTACAATCTTATCGTCCATACACATGTTACTGGACTGTTGTTTTAAATTCAAACAAAACTAAAGTTGTACTGGAAGACTTTCTCCAACTTAGTGAGTAATTGCTCACACTTGGATGAGTACTTTTTCCTTTTTACATATGAATTGTAATAGGTTACAAGCTATTAGGGATGTGAGCACATCAATTCTGTTAATAGATTTTGTCAAATATGTAAAGAAATAAATAAATCTTTTCCAAGTGCTCCTGAAACCACTCACAAAGTATATATGTTTTGATGTTTGATGTCTCCTTTGAACATACTCATGCATCAAGAAAATAATTGTGAACTACCTTTTGAACTTAGCTTAATGCTTTTTTCACTAGAGAGCACTGCACACATTTTTGAAACGACGCGTATCAATAACATCTTTTCTGAGAACCAGTATATTCGGCAAAACATTACATGAAGTTTTGCAAACATAAATCGCGAATCATAAAGAAACATGAACTCCCCCATGAGCTAATGCTTTTCCAATTTCTGCATCCCAAGGCATATCTGATGAATATACACGCGTAGTAATAATGATTATGATGTTCTTATAGAGAAATCTTAAGGACTGGACTATTATTGTTGTTATTCCTACATGATCTCTGCAGGTTTCCAAAGTTCAGGTGATCGCCTAACTTCCCCACAGCCACAGATTTCTTTAACTCTGGTAATTGATTTCCGCTAGATTCCAGGGCGAAATTGTCCTCAACTAAAATAGTTCAGTCAATGAAAATGAAACATATCAACAGGGAATATAGATTAGGATCCACTGTGCCCATCCACATGTCCACACAAAGTGTTAAGCTCCATTTCTGGTATGTCCCCTCACCGGTGATGTTTGCTGGAATATTGCTAAAAGCTAGCGAAACTATAAACTCAGCTCGTGACATGTCCACAAAAAATGATCAGCTACAGAGTTGCAGAACTATAACCCCGAGGAAATGTCCCACAATTTACCGCTCCTCGAGATTCAAAGTATTCTAAACCTTGGTTCTTGGAGTGTTTATGGCCAAACAACTGCACCTTTACACAACTGCTAGCTATCAGCAAGTGTTTGACATCATGTTAGTATATAGACCTAGTATACATTGATATATATAAACTTTGCTTTGGTATCCAAAATAAACTTCTTTGACACCAATCATGCAAACCAGGAATGTGCAAATATTTCAAACAGAGATATCTAACAGGAATAACTGACACGATACCACATCACACAGCATATATATCTTTACACAATACAGTAGATGACCAAGCAACTGGTGGATGTTTCATCATCAATTAAATTGACCGTTTGTCACAAAAAGGGCCATGTATCAGGTAATAGGGTTTTCAACGGTGTAAGACAAAACATAATTTTATCTGCAACAAAGTACACATTTGAAGTTTTAATTTTACCAACCCTAAAGGATATATTCATTCATTTCACACCAAAAATATCAAGTGTTTCCTACAAAAGATAAGGCCGATTAATAATCTATCTACGCAAACTGGAAAGCCACCGCTTGCCACATCCTTGGTATTTTGTATGGTTTTCACCAAGACCACAGGGAATGTTGTGATAACGCTATTTTCTACTTCTTATATACATCAATTCGTGACGAAAGCAGACCATCAATCCACTGAAATATTTAGTTTGTTATTTTTTGTTATAAAGGCAACTGATTTTGCATTTGAAGCGGTATTAACGATCCTCGGTAAAATGATATTGATGTTTGTTTGTTTTTAAACAACTGAAACTTCCGCTGGTTTCAATTGTAAATAAAACTTCACCGACAGTGGACTGGGCATCCGACCAACCGATGTGCTCCAGCGCATCGCACTGACATACGAAAGTAAATGCAATCACGATATCACCACAGAAACATCTAATTCAGCCTTTGGGATAATATATATCAAAATGTATTTCAGAAAATATTAATTAGTGTAGTAATGCCCAACATGTTTACATACCTTCACCTTTGGATAAATACAACATACCCAAAGTTGGCGACATTATAATCAGAATTTGTTTCAATAATATTCAATTTCAAATGAAAGAGTTGTCTATAGATCATGTCACTAATCCAGGTAAAAGCTTTAATTATGTTATTTTTACAAAAACATGATATAAAGATATGAAAACAATTCCAAAAGTAGAAATGTAAACATCGAAAATATGACAATAAGTTTAAATTAGCCATTGATCGCTGTATCAAATAATTGACCATTCATGTGTCAGTGATGAGCGTGGTGTTTCAGATATTCTTAGGTTACATGCATACGCCAGTTGCAATAGCCTTCAATTTAGGAGCCATTAAACTTATCGATCGCTCTTCGAAGTATCTCCCCTTCTTTGTCGACTGTGACAGATTACAGAGAGGAGTCTGCATTGAATAACTAACAAATATCAACAACATTACAGACACATTTATGGTGAAATGCGTACTGAAACCTGTAAACATTGCCAGTGCATTTGGGGAAACTTCAAGCTTGTGCATCTGGTTTACTGGTTCCGATTCTGACTTTTGCTCTTCAGAAATTATATCCGGATCCTTACTGAACAAGTATGCAGAGGCCAGTGTATGTGTGTTATTACAATCACCATTATGAACAAAAGTGTCAGTTTCCATTCAGTAATTCCAACTGTAATTTTGAAGTTACTGGATCTGTCAAAGTATCCAACCAGGGCATCCTGCAAGCCGTCTGTAAGTGCTTAGTGCTGTCTAGCGGCCGTAGATTACTCTAATCGTTCGTCTGGGGCCCCATTAATGACCCTGTGGTGGAGAACAATCTGCCGGTCTGCTCTGCAGCGGTTGGGAGAGAAAACAC